GGGGGAGGTGTCCCTCAGCCTGGCCTGCCCCTCTCTAATCTGGGACGTCGCTCTGACGGTCCAGGACTGCTGGCTCATGACAACTCGCGTACCTGCACACCTAGTTTGCCCAAACAGCCCACACGGGCGTGCACCAAGAGTGGCTACCTCAGGTAATTGGGACACTTAGCACACAAAGCACTCTACCAACACAGGGAAGCATAAAAAATGTGGAGACAAAGAAACAGGCCACAAAGGACAGAACCGGAGGAAAGCAGGCTACTGGATATAGAATTCAAAACCACACTTTTGAGTCTCTCAAGAGGCTTCTAGAGTCTGTCGATAAACTTGATGAGATGTACAGGAAATCTAATGAGACCCTCGATGGTGTGATAAAGGACCAACTAGAAAGTAAGCATACACTGACTGAAATAAAGAATATTATACAGACTCCCAACAGCAGACCAGAGGAGCGCAAGAATCAAGTCAAAGATTTGAAATGCGAGGAAGCAAAAAACACCCAACCGGAAAAGCAAAATGAAAAAAGAATCCGAAAGTGTGAAGATAGTGTAAGGAGCCTCTGGGACAGCTACAAGCGTACCAACATCAGAATTATAGGGGTGCCAGAAGATGAGAGAGAGCAAGATATTGAAAACCTATTTGAAGAAATAATGGCAGAAAACTTCCCCTACTTGATGAAAGAAATAGACTTACAAGTCCAGGAAGCGCAGAGAACCCCAAACAAAAGGAATCCAAAGAGGACCACACCAAGACACATCATCATTAAAATGCCAAGAGCAAAAGACAAAGAGAGAATCTTAAAAGCAGCAAGAGAAAGAAACTCAGTTACCTACAAGGGAATACCCATACGACTGTCAGCTGATTTCTCAACAGAAACTTTGCAGGCCAGAAGGGAGTGGCAAGAAATATTCAAAGTGATGAATACCAAGAACCTACAACCAAGATTACTTTATCCAGCAAAGCTATCATTCAGAATTGAAGGTCAGATAAAGAGCTTCACAGATAAGGAAAAGCTAAAGGAGTTCATCACCACCAAACCAGTATTATATGAAATGCTGAAAGGTATCCTTTAAGAAGAGGAAGAAGAAGAAAAAGGTAAAGATACAAATTATGAACAACAAATATGCATCTATCAACAAGTGAATCTAAGAATCAAGTGAATAAATAATCTGATGAACAGAATGAACTGGTTATTATAATAGAATCAGGGACATAGAAAGGGAATGGACTGACTATGCTTGGGGGGGAAAAGGGTGTGGGAGATGTGGGAAGAGACTGGACAAAAATCATGCACCTATGGATGACGACAGTGGGTGGGGAGTGAGGGCGGAGGGTGGGGTGGGAACTGGGAGGAGGAGAGTTACGGGGGGAAAAAAGAGGAACAAATGTAATAATCTGAACAATAAAGATTTAGTTATTAAAAAAAAAGAAATAAAAAATAAAATAAAATGTATGGCGTCAGAATGAATTGTAGGCCATAGCCATTTATGCCACCATTTAAAAGAATAAGGGTGTTATTTCTGTGGTGTATCATTAAGCTCAGAAAGCAAAATATAATAGTATATTATATTTAAGATGCCACTCTTAAAGTCACGTGACCACAACATCCCTTATATTATCTACATATAATATAAATGTTCTATATAATTATGCAAGCATAGAGGAAGGTTTGAAGAGATACTCATCAGACTATTAACATTATTACCTTGATGGGGAGAGTGTGGGATTTAAAGAAAAAAGACTGGATATTTTTTAAAAGAAACATATCTGTAGTAAAAAATGTAAACGTGTGTGTGTATGTGTATGCATAGAAAGAACCAAAGAGTGAAATTTTAGGTGAAAAGTAGAAAAAATATATATATGCGCATATATATTTTACACAAGTAAAACCTATAAAAAATTCTTTAGCATAAATTTTGTCCTAAGAACTGGTAACAGCAGTTCCTTTGAGGAAAGCAACTGGGTGGGCAGCTACAGGACTGGTCAGCTAAGAGGAATGTTTTTTCTTTTGTTCCTTCTGCACTTTGTACAATATGGATGGCTTACCAGCTCAAGCTAAGCAGTAAAACTAACATAGCAGCTTTATTCACAGTAGCCAGAAGGTGGAAACAATCCAAGTGTCCTTGATGGATGAATGGATACACAAACAATGGTACATAAATACAGTAGAATGTTATTCAGCCTTTAAGAGGAAGACAATTCTAACATATACTACAACATGGATGGACCTTAAAGACATTATGCTTCATAATTATTCTTATAATTAAGTAAAATAAGCAAGCCACAGAAGAACAGATATTGTATGATTTCACTTATATGAGGCAAATTCATAGACAGAAAGTAGAATGGTGGTTGCCAGTGACTGGGGGAGGAGAAAATGGGGAGTTACTACTTAATGGGTAGAGTTCAGTTTGAATGATCAAAAGAATTCTGTGTCTGGATGGTGGTGATAGTTGCCCAACAATGTGAATGTAGTTCATGCCACTAAATTAAACACTTAAAACTGACTAAAATGGCCCTAGCCAGTTTGCTCAGTGGATAGAGCATCAGCCTGTAGACTGAAGGGTCCCGGGTTCGATTCCAACCAAGGTCACATGCCTGGGTTGCAGGCTCAATCCCCAGTGGGGGGCGTGCAGGAGACAGCTGATCCATGATTCTCTTTCATCATTGATGTTTCTCTCTCTCCCTCTCCCTTCCTCTCTGAAATCTATAAAGAAATATATATATTTTTTAAAAAACTAACTAACATGGCAAATTTTATGTATATTTTATCACAACAGAAAAAAATCCTTAAAAAATTTAAGCATTTTTTTTAAAGTCTAGTCAGAAGCTTTGTAAAGAAAATTATAAGGGAAGAATTAAGTTTTCATTGATGCCTAGTCAAAATAGAAGTTACCTCCTATCAGTAATATATTCAATAGTATAACATATACAATTATAAACCCCATTGTACAGGTTTTTTTTCTTCTTTGATGGGAACGGCATAAAATAAGACCAGAATTCCTGTCTTTGTAAGGCGCATCAGTTTTCTATTGCTGCTGTAACAAATTATCACAAATTTTGTGGCTTAAAACAACACAGATGCATTGTTTACATTTTTATAGGTTATAAATCCTACAACAGTCTTGCTGGGATAAAAATCTAGGTGTGAGCAGGGTTTTCTTTCTGCTTCGGATGCAGAGCCAGCAGCATTACATCTTTCTGTTCATTCTTCATTATATCTTCCCCTCGGTCTGAACTCAGCCAGGAAAGGTTCTCCAATTTTAAGAGTCCATGTGATTAGGTGGGACCAGGTAATCCAGGGTAATCCCCCCCTCTCTTACCTTACCTTAATCACAAGCTCAAAGTCCCCTTTTCGCTGTAAGGTAACATATTCACAGATTGGGGGGATTAGGATGTAGACAGTTTTGGAAGCCATTATTCCTGTAGACAATGAGTGTGTGTGGGTCTGCACATTTATTGAATTCCTGCTCATTGGAGCATTCTTAAGTGCTTGTGACATATCTAGCCCTAACAAAGTCTGGCGGTTCAAGAGGAAATAGCAAACAAAATTCTTTTTCTTACAAAGGACTCCCAAAGTTGTAAAAGCTTTAGGCCACAAAAATCTGAATTTACCCCCGAGTACTGTAAACAAGTAGTATCTCTTTCTTGGCTAAGAAACAGTGAAGAGACTGAAAGTTTTAGAGCTAAGTAGTCAGTGACATTCCTAAATATTTTAGCCCTGTACTTTCTCTAGTTTTAGGTTGGGACCATTCATTTTTATTTTATTATTTTATTTATTTATGTAGGTATGTATGTATGTATGTATGTATGTATGTATTTATGTATTTATCTTATTGACAGTTTTATAGATGTCCCCCAATTTCCCATCCTTTCTCCCAGCCCAGGCAACACCATTCTTCAAATAAACATTTCTCAGCAGTACAAAGAGAATACAGAATTGCATTTTTTTTCATCAAGTTTATATTAATCACAAAGTTCAATAACACGTCTCTTAGGCTTATAAGTTAAAATATAGTCAAATTCCTTATTGTGTGGACAAAAGCATTATTTTTAATTTATCTTAAAGTGGAAATGGGGGACAAGAAAGAAGTAAATTGCAGAATGTTAATTTAACCGCTTAATTAATGTTTACCCTATATTTTTAAAGCTCTGAATAATCCTGATATACAAATAGAGGGTCATAATGTATAATAAAATTTTCCTCCAACAGAAAAAAGTTTAATTCTAAGCTAATTCTTTACTGAGATTCATGACTGGTCATTTAATGATATTAACTAGTAATTATTTTGCTATTTTATTAAGTATATCTCTTTTTTCTTCTTCTTTTTTTTTTAATAGCAAGGAAGTATGACCATCAACAGCCACAAAACCAAGCTGACAGTGTGCAGCTCTCATTGGAATGAAATCTCAGAAAATGAACAACATAAATAATTGTTCAATAGTATTGTAGCAAGCTCCTAATTCCACCAAGTCATGAACAGCATCTTTAAAACATCTTCTGTCTCTATAAGATAATTTTTCTTGGGACCTTTATCCCAAATTTTTGGTGTGTTTTCTTTTCCTTTTTTAAATTGCATCTGTGAGTCATTTGTGACACAAAAAATGGCTCAGAAGACCTGAAAACGGGGAGAGAGACTATACCAGAGATGTGATTTTACTTTGTGAACACCTTTGATTTCTTCAGGATGCAATCAGCCAGGAATGAAAACCCATCTTTGGAAACGAGCATCTGAAACTTATGCCACTTTGAGCTGAAATTTTTGTAAAATGAAAATCCAGTCATTGTATAATTTCCTCTCAGATTGTATTCTGTGATAAACGTAATATGGATAACTGACTGATTTGTGTTCTCATTGCTGTTGGTTACCACTCTTAATTGAATTACTACTTGCTTCTTCAGAACCTGCATAGTGGACTGTCTTTCTATATCATGAAGCGTACCCATCTGCTGATTATGGAAGCCTTCTGGAATTTTTCCCTCATGTGTTCCTAGGAGTTCATTTGCTTTTTTCTGTAATCCTACAGTTTCATTTCCACCACAAGAGTCTTCTTTAGACCATACTGCGACCATGTTGTCAAACACTAGTAAAAACACCTCTATAATTGGTGTTAGCAACTTGCTTTTTATCATATGACTCTCGATGTTTAACGTTAACTGTCTGGTTTCTAATGCTTTCTTAGCATAATAAGCTTCCCTGAAGACTCATATCTTGTACCATTTTCTCCTGTATATTGAAATGTTTTTACCTACTTTGTCATCATTATTTAAGTAAAAGCTGATTGGAGGTAGTGGTAGGGAAGTTTAACTGTCCATGTAACTGACCAAGAATTAGTTTTTGAATCCAAGGTATTCTTAATTCTAAGAGTTAGGGTTAATATGCCAGGGTTAATATTATTTTCTTTTCCCTTTATAATTGTAAAGTAAAAGAATATAAATTTTAAATGAAAAGGTTTAGACCAAATAAAATCATTCAGGGAAATTGCATTTTCTTTTAAAATTTAATTACATCATTCAAAAATGTATATATTGTTCAAGGTAAATTGTTGACCAAATGGAGTAATTCTTAACTCACAAGTGAAGGCACTGCCTACACGAAGAATGAAACGCTGTGTATAACTACAACCGTGTGTAACTAAACAGTTATAATTACAGGCTGGGGGTAGCAGAGTGGCAAGGAGACAGTCTTCTTAAACTTGGCTTTCCTCAAGGAGACACTGTATATTTCCATCAGCAGAGAATGTACTCGAGCAGGAACAGTTTACTTGCTGTCACTGACATGTGACACGATCTGGACAAATTACAAACCTGGCCATCTCAGATGATTTGTATAGTGTATATAAATAAATATAAATCACAATGAGATTGTGATTGTTTTTACCTGTGTCCACGAGATAGAGACAGTCATAACTAAAAACTGGCATATCATTTGGTGAGCATCAAACGTTGGCAAGTAAGAGCGGATGAATTCCTGATTTTTTTTTCTCTTAAAGCTAACATGGGAATCACTCACCCCCACTGGCAGGAACAACAGTGAGTCCGCCTTTGAAGTTCCTTCTCTGCTTCAACAGCTGAGCTAGGAAGGGTGGAAGCCTGCAGCCACACTTCAAAGCGACACCAGGTGATTGTCCTGCTTCTGCCCCGGAATCCACCAAAGATTCAGTGGAACTATTTTCTTTGGAAGAAAAGTGGAATGACTAATAAGCTGGTAAATAACATTTGTGTTCTCCTTTTGTTCTTTTTTTTTTTCTTTTAATGCAGAAGATACTGAGCCGTAAGCACTGGTCAGCCTCTCTTGGTGCACAGCTTGAGCATGTCAAATAGTTGTTTAGCTGCTGCCAGCCAGCTGCACTCAGGGAAGCTGTTGGCCCCTAAAGGACACAGATGTTTGCTATAGACCTCACACTGCTTCAGGTGGAGTTATTTATATGATTCATCTGAAAATGAAATGCGGAGTTTATGGTAAAATTGGTTTAATGTCAGAAATATTTTCAACATTGAGTAGAAATAACAAAATAGTGATAATAAAAATAATTTCAGATATTAACAAATACATCGAAGGAAAAGGACAAAAGTATGGAATGAAGTTTTTCAACAAATAGTTATGAAATACGTAACTGTGCTAGTCATGTGTCATCTATAGACTATTCGATTCTAATAACAATTAGAATAGGAACAGATGCAGGAAAACTAAAAGGAAATATAGTTATTTGCATACCTTTAACATCTATACAAAATAGTGAGAATAGGGACTGGAGCTTACTCTTTTTTTTTAATATATTAATTTTTACAGAGAGGAAGGGAGAGGGATAGAGAGTTAGAAACATCAATGAGAGAGAAACGTCAATCAACTGCCTCCTGCACACCCCCCACTGGGGATGTGCCCGCAACCAAGGTACATGCCCTTGACTGGAATCGAACCTGGGACCTTTCAGTCCGCAGGCCGACGCTATATCCACTGAGCCAAACCGGTTAGGGCTGGAGCTTATTCTTAATCTGTTTTCCACTTGACTCCCTAATAAAGCCAGAGTCAAACTTGCACAAAACTATAAAGCAAGAAAAGTTTCCCACCTACCTTTTGACCCTCGTCAGTCTCCTATAAGTCTGTATGGGCAAGACAGGTCTTAAATGAGGATTGAAAAGTTAGGATGAGGAACTAAGCTGAGAACTGAGGTGGTAAACCCTCCTTAGTCCTGTAGCATACCTGTAACACATATGGGGATTTTCAGCAGCAGGTCATCTCTCTACTATCATTGACTTCTCACCCAAAATAAAAGTGGCATTTAGCATTGGATTCTATGCTGATGTATTTTCCACCTTGGAGATAGTGAAAAACTAAAGCTATTTATGTAGATTAGTGACATTCCATATCCTAGGTAGGCAGGTGGGATAAGTCAAAGGAGAGGCCACTTACTGTCCAGGTTCATTGGTAGTAGTTGAGCCCCAAATTTGATACTGAAAGAGCACTGTGTTGTGTTCACTTTTTTTATTTTTATTGTTTACTAGTTCCAGAGGTTCTTGAAAAAGACCTCCACTCCAGGGACTTTATTTAACAACTAGAGGCCCGGTGCATGAAAATTCATGCACTGGAGGGGGGTCCCTCAGCCTGGCCTGCCCCCTCTCACTGTCCGGGAGCCCTCAGGGGTGGGAGGCGACCCAGTGATCAAGGGAAGGTGATGCCCCATCACACCTCTGCTGCTGCTACTTCCGGCAGCGCAAGCCTCGGCCGGCCCTGGGCGGTTGGGCAGTTGCCATCCAAGGCTTGCCTGTGCCTCGGGCCAGCCCTAGGTGGCTGGGGGGGTGAGGGGACTGGGGGTCTCCGGAGGCAGGCACATGGAGTGGCCGGGCTCACCTGGGAGTGGGCCCGGCCTTGCCGCATGCCTGCCACTCTGGCAGGGTTGAGGGGACTGGGCGCCGCCATCTTTGAGGGCGTGGGAGTCAATTAGCATATTCCTTCATTGGCTGTGGGCGCCACCATCTTTGTGATGATGCGAGGGTCAATTTGCATATTCACTCTTTATTAGCTAGGACTAGAGGCCTGGTGCACAGATTTGTGCACCAGTGGGGTCCCTCAGCCTGGCCTGCGCCCTTTCACAACCCAGGACCCTTCGGGGCGTCAGACTGCTGGTTTCATGCCCGAGGGATGTAGTAGTGCACAAAGCGGCAGGCAGCCAGGGAGGAGCCCAAGCCCCCAGCCAGGCGCTACACCGCTCCTGCTCATCCTGCCCCACTGCACCTGTCGCCATAGCCTCTTGGTAGTGCTGCCATGGCAGGAGAGGCTAGCGCCACCACAGCTGTGCTTGCCAGCTGTGAGCCTGGCTGTCGGGTAGCTGAGCAGTGCTCCCGCTGTGGGAGCGCACTGACCACTAGGGGACAGCTCCTGCATTGAGCATCTGCCCCCTGGTGGTCAGTGTGTGTCATAGCGGCCAGTCAAACTGGTCACTTAGGGTTTTATATATGTAGACTAAAGGCACGGTGCATGAAATTCATGCACGGCGGTGGGGGGGAGGTGTCCCTCAGCCCGGCCTGCACCCTCTCCAATCTGGGACATCCCTTTCACAATCCAGGACTGCTGGCTCCTGACCACTCGCCTACCTGCCTACCTAATTGCCCCTAACCGCTTCTGCCTGCAGCCTGATTGCCCCTTAACTGCGCTCCCCTGCTGGCCCAATGGCCCCCAACTGCCCTCCCCTGCTGGCCCAATGGCCTCCAACTGCCCTCCCCTGCAGGCCTGGTTGCCCCCAACTGCCCTCCCCTGCCGTCCTGATCTCCCACAACTGCCCTCCCCTGCTGGCCATCTTGTGATGGCCATCTTGTGGTGGCCATCTTGTGACGACATGAGGGCAGCCATCTTGTGGTGGCCATCTTGTGATGACATGAGGGCATTGCGTGAGGGTGCGAGGACCATCTAGGCTTTTATTAGTATAGATGGTTTGACAAATTTCAAACTAGCTGAAGAAAGTGGAGATTTTTCAATGCAACCAACTGTGTTATCAACTGCAAATGTTTTTGGCTTCAGAAATCTGAATTTTTTCAAAAAATGTACCATGAAGTGTAAAATATGACAGAATAAGTAAATGCATGTTTACTGTATTCATTTTTGTAAGGGATTGCAAGTGTCTGAAGTTTAAAAATCCAGGTCTATTCAAGTTTACTACAACCTAATATAAATCCTACCTAAATGCTTTCTGTCACCTAGTATTAGCAAAGTAACTAGACAAAAGTAAATGGTTGGTGAATACTTATTGAATTAATTAATTTACTTCTAATAATTTATAGAACTAATGTTTTATTTTTATGTTTTTGAAAAGTATTTGTAGGTTCTGTTTCTGGTAATAGAAAAGTAATCATATCAGACTCACAGATAATGATCATGCATTCAGAACAAAACATAAAAAAACTAACAGTGACCATAAGCAGACAACAGAAGGAGGTTGATCCTTGAACGAGGGGACTGCACTACCTGAGATTTGTGATTATGTTTTTGTATTTTTTGTCTGAAGGTATTTCTAAGTCTACCAGTTGAGAGTAGCTAGAACTCAGGTAGAAAGCTATAGTGAAATTGGTTTGAGAATAGGACAGAGTTCAGGGCTTCTAGAGGGACTGGAACATGAGGAGGAACATCACAGAAAGAAGTGAACCACAGGAGGGGGAACCCCAAAATCTGCATATAAATTCTGACAAGTCCCTGGCTGACCCTATACTATGAATCTACAGAGACTCTTAGGAACCTGGCAGAAACAACTAGCTAAAAAACCTGAAAGAACTAAGCAGAGTTTTCAGTTACGGCCTACCATAGGTGAGACAGTTTGAGTCCTGCCAAAAAACAATTTCAGAGAAAGATAGACTCTAGACCAGGGGTGGGCAAACTTTTTGACTCGAGGGCCACAATGGGTTCTTAAACTGGACCGGAGGGCCGGAACAAAAGCATGGATGGAGTGTTTGTGTGAACTAATATAAATTCAAAGTAAACATCATTACATA